CGAGTAGTCTCTCTGAAAGAAAATGGAATTTATTCGGCATCTTAGAGAGCGTTCATAGTTCGCGACAATGCTCTCTTATAAGAGATTACAAATTATTTCAAAATTACAAATAAGATTACAAATTTCAGCTGAAAGTATGGCTGCTGATCGCGAACACGACTTGCTGGAGGCGCTGCAGGATTTGGAGGATGCGTACGAAACTTACCGTTCGTCGGAAAGGCGCAGAGAGTACGTGCGCCAGGAGCATGTGGGTTTCCTTGATGCGCGGATGAGGACATTCGACGAGTACCTCGCCTGGAGCCATCCGCGAACTTCCAACATTACACGAGGTTGGAGCCGTCGGAGTTCGAATGGTTGCATGGGAGGGTAGTCGGATCGCTCCAGCACCCCATAACCCACGCCTCACCCATATCAAGTCGCCATCGACTTTGCATCTACTTGAGGTGGTAGATATATTTTTGGGAGAGAATGGCACAGCTATCAAAAATTCTTATGTTAAGGTATGTGGGTCATGGGTACAGCTTTGGCGCTCTCGCTGAGGAAATGCACTGCGGGAAGTCTACGGTCAGCGAAATCGTTGCCGAGGTTACGAATGCCATAACTGATGGTAAGGACTAGAACAAACATTAGTCCAATGAATTCTACTTGAAAGCTACCTCCTAGTGCTATTTGCCGAGGCTTTCCCGCCGTTTACACAGAACGACCTGGAAGAAGTGGCAGTGAAGACGCAGGAGCGCTACGACTACCCACGGGCGGTCGGTTTTTTGGATGGAAAACACATTAAAATTAGGGTGAGGATGAAGAGATGTTCCCGTAACTTCCCAAAACTGTGACTATAGAACCCATTACAGAAACCCGCACACTCCGGCAGCATGTACTTTAATTATAAGAAGACCTTCTCCATTATTCTGCTGGCCGTGGTGGACTGCGACTACCGCATCCTGACTTTCGATGTGGGAGCTCCAGGTCGGGCTGGGGACGCTGGAGTTTTCAGGGACTCTAATATCAAGGTGAGGTGACAGGTGAAAGATTATTCATCTTCTATTGCCCAGCTTCTCTATCTATGGTCTTTCGAAAACCGAGACGACCTCTTCCCTCCCACTCGACAGCTGGGTGCGGTCGGTCCAGTGCAGTACCACATTTTGGTGGACTGTGGCTTTGCGCAGGAGTACCGCTATGTCCGCCCCTATAGCCAAAGAGCAGCGGACACGCCCAGTAAACGAAGGTTCAACCGAAAACATAGCGGGTAGGTGCCTACGTTTCTTCCTTATCCCCTACTAATAATATCACTCATGTTAAGTGCTCGTCGCGTGGTTGAATCGACCTTCGGCATATTATGCCGAAGGTTCGCTGTTCTGCAAAACGCCATGGCTTTGGAGCCCGACAGAGCAACGAAGGTTGTTACCTCTCTACTGGTGAGTCCCACTAATTCATTCCACTTCATTTTTCTGAACATGGAATGTTTCATGTGCTCCACAACTTGCTGGCAAGGAGGCAGAATGCGCTGGAGCATGCGGCGCGGTATGAGGCACCTGTGGAAGAGCTGGACCCCCTTGCTGATATGGGAGTAGGGGCAGACGCTGCAAACACGGCGCGAGACCGCATCAGGGAGCACTACGATAACCTCTACGGGCCCTCCCACTAAAGGTGAGTAACTACACATATTTAGACTAAGCAAAAGAAAATTGACCAGAAAGAGTACAAGTACGTAATAAGAAACACTAGAAATACAAGAATCACTTCTAACTCACCTTCGATAACGTCACCACCCACCAAATAAGCAGCGGGAGGGTATCAGCGGGCAGGTACGTTGGTCGCAATAGTACAATCTGTGAACAGAACTGTGGTGATCAGGTGCATCTTCTCGCTGATATTAACAGTTCCGCGCTTCTCTAATTCGCGTAACTCGTCCCCCACAAACAGTCCTGAATGTCATGATTAGAATCAAAATGTAGCGTATAGCTGAAATATCGTATCAATGAAATACACACCGAAAGTAGTAAATCTGTCCTGCTGAGGGGTCAGCCTTCCTTCTTCCCAACGCCTCGAAGTACTGCGCACCGTCTCTGCTGCACTCCGAATTAGTGCGACTGGATCTAAAAAACCATTTCATCTACATCGACAATTTCTATTTTTTGCAAGAAGTTATGCTACCTTCGATTCTCCTTTTTTTGGCCCTTTCACTTCCACTCGAGGCTGTGGCTACCACTGGCACCGTTTCCACGATCGCTGGCGACTGGGATCTTGAGCAAGGTCCAGACGCGAACGATCCTCCGGGAGTTACATTAGAAACAGATGAAGCCGAGGACCTGCAAACCGAAACTCTGTGTCGATGATTAGGTAACCGCAGAGCTGCCAAATGGAACCCACCCAAGATCTACACCTTCCAAGTAGCTGAGGGCATCGCTATACTTCCAATCTTTCCTCGCTTCCGATCCAGTGCCGGGAGCCATCCTTCTTTTCCTTGCGGGGAAAAAAACAAAAAGGTTTTTTATTTTTTTTCTTCCCAACCATGGTCTTATATTCGGAAACTATAAACGCAGTTGATCAATTTCCATTGATGCATAAACGCAACTAATGAGGTAATGACAAAATCGCAGACTGACCACTGCGCCTATGCTCCTGTTCCTCCCGCAATGCTTATCTCCGCAATCTTTTCCCAGCTTTCGCGCACGCTCATCCTCTAGTGACTTTGTATGTCCGCCTCACATCGCGGATCCCATAGGGCTGGTTCCATTCCCATGGACTCTATGAGCAGCAATCAAAGTCTCCACGCGACGACATGCTGCGATAAGCAAGCTTTAAGTAGACATCAAATCCCCTCAGAAACGCATATCTGGACCTTAGCCCAAGAAAAAAGAAAACGGAAAAAATCAACATCGAAATTCAATTGAAAATCAACAAGACGTATTCAGGAGGAAAAGGGGGACCAAGTGATGTGGAGCAATATGTAGTTCGGGCAGAAGACGCCTTGGTTTCTGCTGTTGACTACGTTGCGCTCTTACAAGCTAATATAAGCGCGTTGAAATCCTTTGAAACATTCAGACCACTGCAGGCACCTCGAACAACTGCGCCGCCATCAATCGCACAAATAATAAAGAACACCAACAAGCCGAACTCCCACCGCTCCCTGTACCCAAATTCACGGGTGACATTTGGGACTTTGATAACTTTTGGGAGCTCTTCAATGTTAGCGTTCACTCCGAGGGAATTGACCTGCAGGCTTTGCCGTAACGTCTCAACTATTTACTGAACGCCCTCGAAGGGGAGGCTAAGGAGTCCGTGAAGAAGTTCCAAGTTACCCCTGAAAACTACTCCCATGCAATCAAGTTCCTTCACGCACGGTACGGCAATCCAGAGGAATTGATCCAGAAACCCATCGACCAACTTGACCATTACAAATTACGAAGTGAATCCCTCAAGGACCAACGCACACTCTTCGAACAAGTGCAAGTAACAGTCCTGCAACTAAAGCAAAAGGGAGAACACGTAGACAATCAAGTCATGGTCAAGAAAGTGTTGAGCAAATTTCCTGCACATATCCAGAGGAGAGTGCTAGCGAAGAGACGTACACTTCCATCGACTACTTCATCCACCACAATGGAAACGCTGTTCAACATAATCGAAGGACGTTCCCTTGTCCGAGGAAGAAATGATGAGCCTCCTAACGTCAGAGAAAACACAAATGTGCCACCGTCACAGACAACATCCGCCAAAGAGTTCCGAAAACAGGAGAGTCTCTGCATGTACTGCGAAGGAGTACACAAGTCATCTCATTGCGATACACATAAGAACCGCCGGAGGAGAAAGAAGCAAAGTACTTAGGAGAACCGTCGTGCTTGCCTAAATCGCGCATCAGCGCACAGGCACAAGAAACAATCTGAATGCAAACGAAAGAATTGTTTCCGATGCGGAGGACCTTACCATTCATCATGTTGCTTCAAGACCACGTCAGCATCAAACAACACCCAAGAAGCTGAAGAAGAGTGGTGCACGGCGAAGGTACACAGACAACAAGGTTGGAAGAAAGCTAAGTCCACGAAAAACTCAGAAAGTCCAACAAGTAGCTAGCCGCGAAAAAGCGAGCAAGTGGAGGAAGGCGAATCACCGAAAATCACTCCATTCTCCGAAATCGCTAATGTCAAGCAGCGCAGGACAATCCCCATCAACTATCTCGACGGAAGTCCTTACCCCATAAGAGAAGTCATGGTTCATGGATAACAAAGAGAGGCGCATCACAGTCAGGGTCCGGTACTTTCTGAGACAGGGCAGAGCAGAAATTTCGTTCATCGACAGAACACTTGCCGACGAGCTTGAGCTCGAAACAATCTCGGAAAAAACGCTCTTGCTGCACACGTTCGGTTCTGAAGAAATTCAAAAGAAGAAGTGCCGCATTGTACGTGTACAAGTTCAGGATGTCGAAGGAAGACCTCATGAACTGGAATTAACACAACAACATGAGATTCTGATCAAACCACTTCGCACTCCCCCACTACAGAGTTCCTAAAGACATTGAACATTTCAATTCAGCATAAAAGGAGGGCCTGTTGGTACTGCAGCAAACTTGAAGGAACCCGTTTGAAGATGTGTAATACCCTCACGACAAGGGCCAACATCGAGCATTATGCCCCGTCCCGGACGCAAAATGGAGGATCGAAGCCAAGGTGCAAGCAGCAGTTCGCGAATTACAGGAGATGGAAAGAAATCGGCCATTACAAGGAGGGGCAAATGGTAAACAGGCACTATGAATATCCGTCGAACCTGGCGACAAGATTCATCTTAGATGGTGATACATCTTCACGTCTGTTGTAGTGATGCAGTTTTTCTTCTTTGATATACGTTGCATTATTGCTTGAAATGGAGAACTGTCTGTTCATTTATTGAAGTTGAAGTAAAGATAAGGTGTTTGCGGCTCTGTGTTCGTATTCACGACAGATAAGTCCGCAGCGTGGCAGCGAAAGTTTATTACAGGCGTGTGTCTAGACATATCCTTACACACGAAATACTTCACCGGGGGAGACGCAGATAAGTCTTTGCGCATTGCCAGCCGCGCAGTCCCCCAAATATGTTCGCACCACAAAGTAAAAATCACAATAAAATGCTCACCTGGAGTAAATATGTAAGGCGCCACACAAATCAAAATACTTCAATACGACCTGGAAAGAAAAATCCATAATGAGGATGAAAAAAATAACAACATGAACCCACCGCCTGAGCGTTCCACTGAATCCGATGACTTCGCCACAAGACAGGTTGGAAACCACTAGCCTAAAAAGGGTAATTTATTTTATTTTATTGCAGTGCACCATAGCACATTGAAGCAACAGGTGGAACAACTGTATAACCATACCAGAAAAGCGCCAACTGACAAACTCGACCATAGCAAAGTTCAGTACTCGTTGTGACTTAAATGAAAGATAAGTTCCAATAAAAAGGTAAGTAATCAACTGTAAGCCCGCAAAGTAACCTTGGAACTCTGACCAGCTCCTAAGTATCCATAACTGTAGTTTGCACAAACGAGCAATTCAGTCGCGTAGTACCTGCAGTCATGTTGTATAGCAGAATCTTTTTTAGCTGAGCTAAGTTCCCAGGCATACTGTGTTTCTTAGAAAACTTCACGAATTCAGATGAAGCCCGTAAAGCAAAAAACTTGGCTCTAATATTAGACTTAGCCCTAGAATAGGAGAGTTTAATTTTGTCACCACGAGTGTTGGACGGACAGAGGGTGAGAGTGTTACTCAAATTTACCTCAGACTTCCCTGTAAGTATCTTGAACATTGTTATGAAGTCCTGTTTTCTCCTTCTACTGAGTAAGGAATCGAGCGCAAGCATCTTATTTCTAACGACACCTCTTGGTATAGAACTGTAAATAAAACCCAGTGCCGACGGTCAAAAAACCTTTTCTTGTCGAAACTGTTTTGCCACAGACTGCGCCTCGACAGTCTGGAAAGTGGTCCTCTCCTCATATGCCGAGGATAGAATACAACAGAACCATACTCTAGTAGCGGACGAATGTAAGTCTTGTAAGCTCTTATAAGAACGTGTGGATCCTTAGTAAGCAAGCTCCTCAGTAACTGGTACAGTCTCTTCTCCGCTCTATTAGCTATCGAAATGCAGTGGGAATGGAACTCCAATTTATGGTCTACGATGAAGCCTAAGTCCCTTACTTCCTTAACCTTTTTTAGTTGCGAGCCGTCAATATTGTAATCGAAGTTAATCCGGGAGGAACCTAAGTGCAAAACTGAGGTTTTATCATATGCTAGAGGGAGTCCCCATGATTTAGACCAAGTGGCAACAGCATCAATGGCATCCTGTAACAACTTGCAATCACTTTCAGTTGTTAGGGACTTATAGATTTTCAAATCATCGGCAAAAACTTTACATGTAACTCCAATTCCTTCCACTACCTTAGGCAGCTCATACGAGTAAATGCAAAACAAAACTGGTGAAAGAACACCACCCTGTGGAACACCACTAGGCGCAGCGCGTACAGCAGAGAATTTTCCTTGCTACTACACGGACCTTGGTAATGAAGAGAAATGCTCAACAAAAACTGCTTCTGCTTCTGCTACTGCACGGCACAAAGTAAATGTCAACTAAAGGAAAAATAGGAATGGAAGGAATAGCTGTCTTATAAACAAGTAACAGCTTTGTGCGCAGAAAGTAGACGCAATGGCCTCACTGGTCTTGCCTGACCCGACACGCCCATCGATACTCGAGGTCTTCGCACCTCGCCGAGGGCTAGCCCTTGCGAAATACTGTCGATGACACGAGGTCTTCGCGCATCGCTGAAGGCTAGCCCTTTCGAAATACTATCGATGACCCGAGGTATTTGCGCATCGCTGAGGCGCCAGCCCTTGCAAAATACTATCGATGACCCGAGGTCTTCGCGCATCGCGGAAGTGCTAGCCCTTGCAAAATACTAATGATTTACCCGAGTTCTTCGATAGTATTTAGCAAATCGATTCCATCCCAACAAGAAAAATATGAATGAAAACAGAATATTCCTCACCGAATCATTTCGGAGAACTCGGGCAGTCACGATCCTAAAAAAATACGAAGTAAGAGAAATTAACCTAAGTCGAACATAAAGCAAGAGTTACCTCGATGTTCCATGTTGAAAAAGCGAGCATCCACATTCAC